TGTTCTTGTCGCGTTTGCTCGGGGATGTACTAGGCCTATTTGGAGTTTTATATATTCCTTTCAGACATGAGCTCAATATCAAACAATAAGTAGGACACTGAAAGCTGTAGAATTATTGATCTGAGTTTGGAAACATCGAACGATATAGAAAAAAAAGGCTGCCAAACAGCTTGTCCGTTTGTCTTTACATATACATGGCAAATATATATGTCGTCCCTTTTATTTCAATCCAAATGCTTAAGCCGTATATGCCTCTATCCACTTATAGTCGGATGAATTATATCTTGTCATGGTACCTCTAAAAATCGAGGACTAGTTCTCTATATATAAGAAGCGAGTTGTTTGAAATGTGCACTGGACTGTCCAGATTTAGCTCGCTGGTAGTATCTAGTATGCATGGCTTTGTTATTATTAGCGACAGATATGATGCGATCGATGTGCACGCATGCGGCAATGCTATGGTCACTGACAGATGTTAATGGATGCAGAGAACTGCAAACAAATCAACCTCTGCTGACAATCGTTTCTGTCCATTAATTATTTTTACCAGAGTTAGCTCGATCGGAATGGGAGCAGAGCTAGATTTTGGAATTGGAAGAGATGATCGATGGAGTTGGGGGTGATGTGCTGCTGTACTGGGCGGACTACACCTCCTCTCCAGCCCTCCCGTGTTTTGTGCTGTTTGGCTGGGGTCTAGCTGGGTTGGAGAGTACTATTCATTCACATGCATGCATATTGCGAAATCAGTGTCAGTCACTTTCAAAGCCAGCAGGCTAGGAGCACCGAGCACATGCCATCTGTACTTAAAAAAAATGTCACAGATAATTGGTGAAATAATAATAATCACCGGGTTTGGATTCCTCCTTTCTTGTACTTTACTTGTAAGTTGTAACTTAATTAAGGAAAAGAAAAGAAATGTGGACAAAGAGCGAGAGAGTCATGCATGTTGTGAGGTGGTTGTAGCTAGGCTCGTGGTTGCGGCTGATCTCCTCTCTTTGTTATCTTTCTTAATGATAATAATGTGACACTGCTAAGGCAGCAATGCAATGCAAGTTGGGGCATCATTATTCGGGACCATAATGCTGATGTGATTAATACTGGCAGGGGGAGACTCGGCTATGCCCTGAGTGCATTTCAAGCCGAACTTGTGGCTTGCCTCCAAGGTGTCCAAGCAGCTATGAGCTTAGGAATTGGGAGACTGATTATGGAAACTGATGCACTGATGGCGAAACAAGCCCTTTCTTCCAATGATTATAATGCAAGCCGGAAGGAGGACTAGCGTGCGAACTGAAGGCTTTGATCTTCTCGAGCTTCTTTCAATTTGAGTGTGTTTTTAAGGGGAGAGAGTGTAATAGTGCTGCTCAGGGGAAGAGATCATCTCTAGTTCTACCCCGTGTAACATTCAGGTGTTTGTTCCTGCTGATGCTTCAGCAGATGAGTAATGCAAGCTCCCCGTTTCAAAAAAAAAAGAAGAAGAAGAAGAAGAAGCGATGCAATGCAAATTGGAGAAAAAGGGGAAGAGGTGGATGAGACAGGTCATTTCAGCAATGGGATGATCAGTGACCCTTTGGCGAGCGAGCGAGGGTCAATGCGACGGCACGAGGGCCTTATGCCTCTCTGTCAAGTTTACTTTCTATCACATTATATATTTGATACATATATAGAGTATTAAATATAGACTAAAAAATAATTAATTACACAGATTACGACTAATTTATGAGATAAATTTTTTAAACCTGATTAGTCCATGATTTGACAATGCAGTGCTACAGTATCATATGCTGATGACGGATTAATTAGGCTTAATAAATTTATCTAGTGGATTACTGAGGGCTTCTGTAATTTGTTTTATTGAACATGTTTGTTGATTGGTTTATGGACTAATAATTTCGATTGGTGCTGATTTGTTGCGAGAGAAAAACACTGTGATAAACCCTGACTAAAACCAATAAACGAACATGCTGATTATTACTATCTGAACATTCTTATGTGATGTCCCAGTGTAACACCAGACGTGAACTTTACTCCTAGTACGGGCCTACGGCAGCGGCGACGTTTTTCACATCATCGTCGATCATTTTTATCTTCTCCTTGTCCTTGGCCCCTGGGCCCTGGCAGTGCCAAGTGCCATGCCAGTGCCAGCGGGCGGGCAGCGTCTCCCTTCGCCGGCTGCCCTGCTCCAGCTCTCCTCCATCCATCCACGCATGACGCACCTCCATCGCGCGCTTTCCACTTTCCAGCGACGCTCGGTCGTAACTCGTAGTCGTAGCCTCCCCGCAGAAAGTAGAGCAAAAGTCCCCACGACCCTTTCCCGCAAAAAAAGTAAAGTAAGCAGAAGCTCCATCTTCTTTTGCTCGTCAACCCCTTGCCTTGCATTGCTTCCTCCTGCGCAGCAGCAGCAGCACAGGCCACCGGCAGGGACATGGGTCGGCCCGGGGGCCCTGCACCTGCTGCACGACTACATGCATGCACCACCGGGACAGGGGCGCGGGGGCCGGCCGGCCGTGCGCCCGTTCCGGTGTAGGATGGCGATGCAGATCCTGACGGCGGACATTGCCAATCAAACTGGATTATTTGCTCTCTGTATATAAGCAGCAACTTCAAGTTCTATCGGCCCGGGAATATAATGTAATACTCCTATATGTAAAAATGTTGCTTCACGGCACGAGGGCAACAGCTCGCTAGCTTAGGGCGTGTTTGGTTTCATAAGTCAGGTAATTGAAAACCAGTGACTTATAAGTCATGTCTGTTTGGTTGCAGATAACTTATAAGGTGTGGGCTCCACGAGAAAAAGGGTGGCTTATAAGTTTTAAGTAGGGATGAACCAGCTTAAAACTTATAAACAGAGATGGCTTATAAGTTGGTGGTATTTAGTAAAATCAATCACTTATTTTACTTTTTAACTTATAAGTATATGACTTATTCGAAACCAAACGTACCCTTGGCCCCGGTTGTGCTTCTGCCCGACCGTCGTCACTCAACTACTGCTACGTACTGAAAGTCTGATGGTAACACCTTTGATAAAGTGTCAATCACTGGTTTACAAAAGAAGAAAGAAAAGATTTTAGCTTCACTCCAAACCAAACCAACTCCAGAGTGATGCCCCGGTTGTGCTTCTGCCCAATCCGTCGTCAAAGAAAGAAGAGCGAGTGGCAACACTACTACGTACTGAAAAGTCTGCAGAAGGTGAACACCTCAGCTCTTTTCTTTTGGCAGCCCACAATCAGCGCAATCAGCGCGTGTATGTCCTACGTACGGCCGGCCCCATGCACGGCTACACACTCATTGTCAGGTTCAATTCCTGTATGACTCGACTCATGTATTCCCCTCCACCCCCCCCCTCCCAGACCCCTCCCATCACAAAAAAAAAAGTGTAATTCTTGTTTTTCATGGAGTCAAACATTTCATATTTGATTAAATAAATCTATTAAAAGTTATAAATATTCACTACTATAGAAACAACTTCTAGCAACGGATGTATTTCTAGGCGGATGTGGCTCAGTGAAAATCGGTGTCCAAAAGTGGTTTTCTGAGCTGTCCCACATCTTTTTTTTTTAGGGGAAGCTGTTCCACATCTAGAAATTGATTTCTAGAAATCTAATGGATTTCGGCTGGCAATTATTTGGCCCACCTTTAAAAATCAGTGGAGCAGAAAATAAAAAAATAGATGGAGCAGTGTAAAATTCATAATTTTTGCAAATCAAGTCACAAGTCATGCAATTTTCAAATCGATAGAGATGTATTGACAATTTCTTTGCCCTGGTTTACAAATTCTGAAAAACGATTTTTAGAGGGCGATTTTTGGAGACAAACAGATAGAGGCTGCTCGAATTAGGCCTGGGCAAAATACCCGCTATACATTACCCGAACCCAGACCCGAATTACCTGAACCTGAGATACCCGATCCCAAATTTGGATAGTGATTCCAATTACTCAAAATTAGTTTGAGTAATTTGTGTAATATTCCCAGTACCTGAACTACCCAAACTACACGAAGATGTGTCTATATTGTTTGTGTTGTGTTGTCAGTTGAACATTCGAACTTATCACTTTATTAGTATATGATTCTCTCTATTTGAACGTAATATATTATTCTCTGCAAATTGTTGTTGAAAATTCTATACAAATTGCTGTTGACATTATGTATAGATTGCTACTAAAACTTTGTGCAGATTGTTGTTTTATGTGAATTCGGATATCTCAGATATACCCAAACCCAACCCGAACCCAAATCCTAATTATCGGGTACCCAAAATTACGGGTAGTGTTTTTCAGGGCTAATATCGGGTAGCAGTTTTCATAACCCGAATTTTGAATTACTTGAATTACCCAACCCGAAAAATCAGGTAACCCGAACACCCAGGCCTACCTACAATTGTCTCTAAAAATCTTGTTTGTAGTAGTGAGTTATGACTTATGATGCTGAATAAACATCATGTTTTCATAGTAAACCTATTTAGAGACATAAATTTTCATACTATTTTGTGTAAACTTAATCAAACTTAAGAAAAAATGACTTATTAGTTGAAATCTAAAATCGCATTGCCTTTGAGACGGCCTTCTAGCGCTCTACACTTTATCTCAAATTAGTTGTCATTCTCACTAATCAATGCAATATTTCTCTTTTCCCAATATATCTCTCTTTCCTTCAATTCTTATTTCGTGTACACTACTTTTTCCACTACCCGTACCCAGAGCTAAATCATCATCTATCATGGGACAAGGGACAAGGGAGTACTCTAGTCTAGAACGAATATAATAATCATCCATACATAATGTACGCATATATATATATATAATGTATGGCGCGCAAATTAAATAAGCTGCTAATATAAATACAGGAGGCAACTAGTATAATACTAATATATAACGACGGCACGCAAATTAAATCAGTTCAAACATGATCAAAGGAAGCCTACAAGTAGTCACGGCTAGGTAGCTAAAGTACGCACGTACACGCATGTATACATACATACATGCGTGTGCACTGTTGCATCACACTATTCAACAACCCGTGATCCGATAAGGCGATGAGCTCGCTCGCCGCAGCTACCATCTCGAAAATGCTCCTGCTCCTCTTGCTCGATCGCCTCCACGATGCGGTGGACAGCCGCCGCGATGTCGTCCACCGAATAGGGCGCGCAGTCGTCTCCCAGCTGCGCGCGCGCGGCAGTCGTCAACGCAATGCAATGCAACAAACAGAGACACACACGAGAACAGCATTAGCTGTTGTTCTGAAAAAAAAATGGCAAATGCTTGAAACCACGGCCTGTCCCTACACTGACTCCCGTGCTGTGTCCAGTTCATTGAAAACAATGAGACGGGAGAGTTCGGAAGGGTCGTTCCGGACAATGCAATGCGCGCGGGATCGGGAACCGAGGCCAGCCGGGGAACGCAGGGGACAAGCAGCAGGGCGGCGAAACACGAAACGAAAGGGTGCCTACTACACACCTTGAGGCTGAGAGAGTAGAGCGCCATCGAGCCGGCGCTGGTGACGTTGAGGTGCAGCACGGCGAGGCGGTGGCCCTGCAGCCCGGCGACCAGGCGCAGCACCTGCCTCGGTCGCCGCCGGGACAGCACCTTCAGGTTGGCATGGCTCTCCACCATGGTCACCTCAATGTCCGCCACGTCCGATGGCCTCGATCCCGAAGCAGCAGCAGCGGCATCGTCGCTGGCGTCCGCGTCGTCGGCACTATTCTTCTTCCCGTCGCGGTGACCTTCTGGTCGGAGTGTCGTGTTCTCGGTGGTGGCGGTGGCGGTGGACCGGGCGCCACCGGCGCTCATCGCGTACTGCGGGAAGGTGAAGAAGGCAGCCAAGGGCACCGCCGGCGCGGCGTGGAGGTCGTGGCGGGCGTGTTTCCGGGCCTCCAGGGACTGCAGCAGCTGCTCCAGCTCCTTGGCGTAGTTGATGGCGCCGCCAATTATGGACGCCTGGTCGCCCTGCAATGCGTTGCGAACCCCAGCAACAATGTGGATCGACGACGATCGGGTTAAACGAAAAAAATTATAAGCTCTAGCGACTACTACACCAAGCAGTGCCGCGGCCACCTACACTACAAGCTCCTACCCTTTGCACGTAGGACGGCGGCATGAGGGAGCGGAGCACGGCGAGGTACTCGTTCATCTGTTTGCGGCGGTTGCGCTCGACGGCGATGTGGGTCATCCGCTTGCTGTCCACCTCCTCCCTGTTCTTGACGTTCCTCGTCCTGCGCCGCTTCCGCCTCGCTGCTGCCGGCAGCGGCGACGACATCTTCGTTGCCGCCGCCGCGGCTGCTGCCACCTGCTCCTGGTGCTGGTGGTGGTGGGCAACAAAGTCAGTACCAGCTGCAGCTGCAGCTGCATTGCCAGAGCTGCCGACCGGGCCCTCAGCCCCTTGCATCATCACGCAGGCACCTGGGCCCACGTCGTCCCTGTAGGCGGCGGCGGTGCCCCCTTCCAAGTCCATGATCATCCCCTCCATGCCCCCGCCACTCACATTTTCTGCTGGAGCCGGAGCCGGCATGGTCCAGCAGCCAAAGAGTCCTTCAGAGAACACCACTGCCTCCAGCGCCATGCATGATCGACTCAAGAAATCGATCGAGACCTCAAAAAAAGAAAAGGGGCAGGGCAGGGACCAGGGAGGCGAGAAGGGCAGGCAGGCAGCAGTTACGGAGTACGTATTAGTTGCTAGGCAGCCAGAGGACTGGAGGAGGAAGAAAAGGCGAGGAGGCGGGATCGAGAGCGAGAGCGAGCTAGGCTCCTCATATGGATCGGAGCTCACGAGTAAACTATACGTATATATGACGTCTGCGTGTGTGCTTGACTTGAGAGGAGTGAGTGGTGTGGAAGGTGTGTGTGATTATGAGTGAGTGAGGCCATGCATGATTTGGTCGGAGAGACGGAGGGAGACGACGCCACGACGGCATCGCATCGCATCGCAGACGCAGCCAGAGCAGCAGCAGGGCAGCCAGCAGACGCGCGCGGCCGGCGCGGGCATTCTGCATTTCTGTTGTGCAACAGTGTAGTGTAGTGCCCATCCATCGGGAAACGCAACGGACACTACACTAGCTAGGGCCACGTTTAGTTGGTACACCAACTCGGCGCCGCCAGATTAAATGTAGATAAAAAAGCTAACTAATTACATAGTTTTATTTGTAAATCATTGATGAATCTTTTGATTAATTAGTCCATGATCAACAAAGTTTGTCAAATACAAACCAAAAATGTGTAATTAATTTTTGATTTTCATCAATATTACAAAAATTTACGATCTAAACAAGTCCAGTGCAGTGTAGTGCCCATCCATCGGGAAACGCAACGGACACTACACTAGCTAGGTGCGCCTAGCTAGGCCTGCTAGCGATGCTAAAAACAAGGCGCCCCCGCTAGAGTGCACAAAATACACAACCCGCTAGAGAGCGGGTGCGGTGATTGCGCAGCGATGGATCGGAGCCGAGCCGGAGCTGCTGGCTGCTGCTGCAGGCTGCCAGCACCCCACGCGCCACGCGGTAAAATGGTAAATGTAACGCTGTGATCGATGAGTCGCGCCCGCGGCGCGATAACTTGTTGCATTGTTTGGATCCACGGATCTGAATCTGATGGCCGGATCGTCACTGCTCAGGTTCAGCTAGCTCGTAATCGTCGCAGGCGCGGCTGCAGCCGCGGTGTGCGGTTGCATCGGTAGCGCATGCAGGTGCCGGTGCGTGGCGCTACCGCTACCATCCCAGCAGCTAGCGTAGCGTAGCCGCATGCACTCCAATGCTGGATGACGTACTGGAGTGGATAGCCAGCACACGCACACAGCAAGCATCAGGAATCCAGCACGCATGCAATGGCCGGCGTACCCACGCCACGTATCCGATCGATCCGTTCATCCCTGGCTAGGCGCGCATGATGAGATCGATAATCATGGTCACTGTGGCGCGCGCCGCGGTCACGGGCGCGGCGTGCATGCCTGTGCCGATGAGCGTGCGCGTCGTGCTTGTATGCGTGCATGCTACCAACATTGCACGTCGTCGTCAACACACGTACGGAACGGACTGCCGGAGGCCCGGAGCTGAGCTTTTGATGCGTCTTTGCGAGTATATATAAATATAATGCGAAGCAGCATGCCATATGTCTATACATACCGATCGATCGAGCATACTGCGTACGTGCATGGAGACTTGGCGTCATGCGAATATATGATGATAGCTTCACTGTGCCTTCTTTGCATGCATGCTCTCTGGCGCGTGTATGTGTATGCATGCATCCGTACACATCTCATCAGTCGTCCACTCCTGTGCAACGTACAGATGCACAGCGACTGGAAGCCGCATGCATACATATGCGCCTCTCAAGTCTGAATGGACATGCATGGATATACAATCGCTTGGTCGGAAAAAAAAAGCTGAAACAATGTTCCAGCTGATTTATTGTGAGAGAAAAATACTATTTCAGCTAAAAAATAAGCCAAAAAATATAGATTATAAGACAAGCGAACATGGGCCAATAACTTCTTCCCATCAATCTCACAATATTACTTCCCTCTGAATGCGACTCGCGCGCGTATATATATATATTATTGAGAGCATAGTGCTTCCAATAAGTACTGGAAGTCCTGACATAAACTCAACTGGTCTGGTTCTACCACACCATCCTGCCACCAACATGTCCAGGACTAAAGGCGCGTGGTCCTGGTGCGGGTGTGGGGCCAGGCGGCCAGCCCTAGCCTCCCCACCGGTTAGCTCCTCTGTGTCAAAATTATTTGAATCTCGTTTTTTCTCTCCCCTGGTTCTCTCACCGCACGCGACAGCAGCCACTACGCCGCCAGATGCGCGGACCCGCTCCTCCCACCGGCGGCGTCCTTGCTCCAACCTCCCTGCGTCGACGGCGCCGCCAGCCCGCGTTGTAGGCATCCCTGGCACCCCCCGACCTCTTCCTCGAGGGGCCCGACGACGACAGCCTCTGGCCCGTCTCATCGGACCGGTGGTGGCCGACCACCCCACCCCACCCCGTCCTCGACTGGTGGCTGGCCTCGCATGTCCGAGGGGCCTGGCGACGGCGGTGCGGCCCTCCCCGTGGCGACGGCGTGGCCACCCCGTGCGGCAAGTGTTAGATTGATCTCCACCAATTGGGCCCTTAGATCTGCGCCCTGATCGGGGGTGCCCAACCGCTCCATGGTTGGTGGCCCCCCGTCGCACAACGCCATAAAAAGGGAGGTGGGGGCCGGGACACAAGGCACGAGTTTCACCTGAGCCGCCAGACACCCCACTTACATCCTAACCTGGCCGATGGACTCAACCCAATGGCTTTTATTTTGCACATACCGCCTCTTGAAGGGGCAACTACAGGGTATGGCGAGTGAAGTATGAACTAGCACTTGCGCTGTCTGAAAATGACCTAGCGCTTACCTCCCCGTGTTCGACTGTGCCAGTGGACCCAGTGAGGGAAGATAATGAGACTGATGCTGATTTCACTACTCGGCAGCGAGATCATGCAGAAGTGCGGATGAAATATGATCTTGAATGCAAGAAATGGGACATTTCAAACCGCAAGTGCTTGATGGTGGCTAAGTCCACTATTTTCAGATGCGATAAGAGGGTCTATCTGTTGACAGAATGTTGTCGACAGTCCTTCGAGGGGTATCCCACGAAAGTAGATTGATCGGCAGAGAGGCGTGTAATCAAGAACAAGAAGGCAATAGAGACACACGAGTTAGATAGGTTCAGTCCGTCAGTATGACATAATACCCTACTCCTGTGGTCTGTTGGTTTGTATTGGCTATCGTATGATATTGCGTGAGTTTGGAGGGGGTCCCTGCCCGCCTTATATAGTCCGAGGGGCAGGGTTACAAGTCGGTTAGATATGAGAGATAACCGAAAAGTAATAACAGATTACAGAAATCTTGGGATCATATGTATCCTAACAGATCTCGTAGTATCTTCAGGATATCTTCCCGGTGTCTTGCGGGAGGCGCCGAGCAGGGTCGTGCCCTGCAAGGGTTCATCTTGTGGGCTGGGACACCCCTGGGGGCGTAGCCCATGTGGTCTGCCGTGGGTATATAGGGTCATACCCCCCACAGCTAGTCCCTGAGCGCCTTGTACCCGTTGTGCAACGTCGTCTTGAGCTTGTCTGAGCAGGTGCGAACAAAGCCGAGCAGTCAAACTCATGGTCCAACCACTGTGATGAGTTGCCGAGCAGTTGTGAGCAGTTGCCGAGCAGCGTGAACCGTCACCGAGCAGCGTGAACCGTTGCCGAGCAGCGTGAACCGTTGTCGAGTAGTGTAACCCAAGTACGGCTTGCCATAAGGGTGTAAGGAGCTCAAGTTTAGAATAAAAAATTTCTTCGCAGTGGACCAAGTGTGCCCACTTAGAATCCGACCACAAAAAAGGGAGATAATCTTCTTTAGCTTCAAGAGGCGTAGAGTCTTCCATATTAAAGCAAACACATTGACCGCAAGGTGAAGTGTGCCCACTTAGTCCCCAAGCTTGACAGTAGATGACGTAGTCTTGTGGTGCCAGGGTCCAAAGTAGAAGAATAGCAGAAGACCAGCCAAGCAGGCAGCCAGTCCCCGAGCGTAGCCCCGAAAGGAGAAAAAGCACATTCACCTTAAGGTGAAGTGTGCCCACTTAGTCCCTGATCCTGACAGTAGGTGATGTGGTCACGTGGTGCCAGGGTCAGAAATAGCAGTCAACTAAGGGAAAAATCCCCAATGTGGTGAGGAACCAAGACGTAATGCTGACGCAGTCCCCGAGCCACAAAAGGAAATCTTGGAGAAACACAAATCGTGGAGAAAATACCAGAGTAATGGCTGTACAGTAATAATGATTGAGCCATAACGGTTGGCGGAGAAGTCGGTGAATATTTGGCGAGCCGTAACAAATTGTGGAGATAAATTGGTGATACGGGCCACGGTTGCGCGAAGGCCCAGGTAACGGCCCACCTTGCTGTTGCGGAGAATTCGGAGAGGCGCAGATCGCGGGAACGATTTCCCAAAAACCCTCGAATGCGAAAAGGTGGGGGAGTGCTTTATAACTGCACCGCCGCACCCCACGCTCCTACCTTTGCCACTTTGCGATTTCATCTTCCTCCTCAACCCTCGCATTTCCAGGTTCACATCTACACTTGCTTCTGCTGCCAAACCCTAACCAGATCTGAGAGATGGAGCCGAAGAAGGGAGCTACGAAACCAAAGAAGACGAGCCCCCAGAAGGCGATCATCAAAATCTGACATGACGAAGAGTGGGTGCCGTCGCGAACGAGAGAGGTGGAGCTCAACAAATTGGTGGAGGCTGGCATTCTGCTTGACCGCGTCACCGCCGGATGGCGGCCGGCCCTCGATGAGCCCTTCCCCATGCCTCATACCGACGAAGCTGTAGTGTTTGAAGATTATTTGTAGCGCGGGTTGGGATTTCCTGTTCACCCATTCTTGAGAGACTTGTTGGAATTCTAGAGAGTCAGTCTGTGCAACCTCCACCCAAACACAATATTGCACATATCTATCTTCATCCATTTCTGTGAGGCATTTCTCAGAATCCTTCATCACTTCAACCTCTTCCACCACCTGTTTTGGCTAAAGCAGAGAGGCGATGGT